AAAAAAAAAAAAAAAAGTCCAGTCTCAAACTTTGCCAACAGTACCAGCCTGTGACATTCCTCACATTAAAGAAGTTTTACCAGAAATGACTCGCCGCCTCTCCCCGCCTGCTCCAAACGCATCTCACTGGTGCCCTCTGCGGGCTGCGGACCGAGATTTCCAGGGATTGTAGCTCGACTCTGGCTTATTCCCTGTTTTACAGTAAATGACAGGACGAGGTGGGGGAGCCGGAAGGGGGGCTGAGAGGCTGAAAACGCCCGGCAAGCTGCAAATCCTTCGCTCTGCCTTTCCTCCTCTGATTCAGCAACTGTGCTGGATTCAAGCACTTGCTGCAGGAGGTTGTGAAACTCCAGTGCAGCTTAATACTTGAGCTGTCGAGGTCTGACTGATAGCTGGGTTTTCCCCTTTTTATTTTCTGGGCCTGCACGTCTTCCCCAGGCAGCTGGTGTGCGTGGCGTTTGATATGGGGGCCAGAGCCCAGTTTCTAGGGTTACTATCTGAAACGGGGCTTTAAGCAGGATGCCGGCTTAGCAAGAACATAAATGTTTTCTTTAAGAATCCGGGAGATTTCTCAAGGCCTCGTGCGTCGTCTTTCCCTTGATCCTTACAGATGTTGTAGATTAGGATGAAATGTAAGTGTTGCCTTTACCCTAGCAGTCGGGCTGTTCTGCTGATTCTGGTCTGCAGAGTTTTATCGTTACAGAAAATACACATTGTAGAAATTTTTTCTTTAGTCTGTTTTTTTCCCAAAGAAAGAAAAGATGCATCAGTCACATGCTTAAGTGGAAACTGTGTCTCTGAGCCAAAACTTTGATGCTTTTTAATTCTTTTTCCCATACAACACAGCACTGGAACATTTTTCTTTTAAGTTGCGTGCCATGCTATTTTCCTAATCGCTGACTTGCCATGTGGTAAACATAGACTTTAATGGGAAGAGTTTGTGTACTCTTTCAGACTGTTTGACTTCCCCCTCAGATATACCAGCACTGCGTCCAGTTTTCCTTTGAGGAGATGTTTGACATGGGAGAGCCATCAGGGGCCTTGTATTTTTTACAGGATATATCCTGTACATCCTATATTTGCTAAGTGAGTAGTTGTTAAAGGTCCTCTGGGCGTTTTTTTGGTGGTTTTGTTGTTGGGTTTGGGGTTTTTTTCCATGGCCATTGTACCTGTTTCTAGACCAGTTTCTGGTGCTGCTCAGTGCTTGCAGTTACAGATGTAAGCGAAGGTCCGGAGGGGAGCAGAGTCGCAATGGGATGTGGTATAGAAACTCCTTGTTAAGATGGAGAAGGGAACCACGGAGCCAAAGCCTAAAATGTTCCCATGCTGCCCTTGCTCCTAAGTTGTGACCTGCTAACGTAGCTTGTCCCTGCCCACGGTAGGATATGCTGGAGTCTCCCTCGGCTATAGATCGGGGGAGGCTCCCATCCAACTCCATATTTTTAAGGCAGAGCAGAGACTGACCTCAGTTCTTGGCACTCTTAATAACAGGACTCTTTCTGTTTGCTGTTTAGTTGTTGGGGGTTTTTTAATGCTACCTTCATCTGTGTGTTGCTTGGGTCAGGAGGAGAGCACTGGCTTCGTGGTTGAGCGCGTGCTGCATGTGTAGCCCTGCAGTCTGGCTATCACCACATCTTTTCTGTAGCACTGTGAATTCCTCGTAGATAAGGAGAACTGAGAGCTGGCAGACAGTTGCCTCCAGGAGCCTCTCCCAGGTCAGGAGAGGAGAGCTGTGGGTGTCCTGGGCGAAGAAATGGCAGGAGCAGGTCTGGAAGGAGGAGAAATGGGGAGGTGGGTGAGGGCGGGCGGTGCTGGCAGGGGGATTGAAGCTCTCTGAGGTGAGGAGGAACGAGGAGACCAAAGCTGGGGCTGCAGTTTGGGGAAAGATCTGGAGCTCCAAGGTGAGGAGGCTCGTGCTCAAAGGGGCTGTGCAGGGGAGGTGGCAGAGAATTCAGGGCCTGCCACTGAAACCAGCAGTGTCCCAGGGGTCAGAGCTATGGCCACCTGGCAGAGCGTGGGGGGCCAGCAGCGGCACAGCAAAGCTGATCCAGTGCAGTGTCCTAGCAGGGAAAGCGAGATATGTGGGGAAAGCCTGACCAGTCAGGAAGCAATGCTTGTAAAACCCAGTGGTAGCCTGAGCACCCTGTATTTGAAGATGCAGCCTGTCACAGCAGCACATCCCTTAATTAGTTATCTAGGAAAAATACTGCCTTTGGAAAACACAGAATACAGGTTTTGGAGATTTTTTTAATGATATTTTGAGGGATTAGAAAGGAAGCTGGTGACAGATGGAGCACAGCACAGACAGGGACTGCAGTCTGACTGGTCTCTTCCCTGGGTCTGCAAGCAAGCACCGTGGAGCTGCTGAGGGATGTGGCTGAACTGAGTAGCTCCCCTTCACTGTCCAGGAGACCTCCACTAGTGTTAGAGGGGGGTCCTAGGTTGAATGCAGGAGTGATTGCAAGTGGAGTAGTCTCTTTATCAATAACAGGGAGGCTGATCTTTGTGTCAGACAGTTGTATCTTATGTGGCTGATTTAGTGGTGGATCTGACTCTCCTGACCTCAGACGGGAATTTTTAGCAGTTCGTTGGGTGTCTGAAGGTGGAGGCTGCAGTAAGGTGGCACTTTGCATAGCAAAGCGTCATCAAAAGATCTCAAAGTTTTGCAGCCATAGCTTTCTAGTGTCCCTGCAAAGAAGACAGGACTCTTTCTTCTCTGCTTTTTGGGTACAGGAGGGGTGGTGGCACACGTTGGTAAAGGTCACGGTAGAAGCCACTTATGGAGCTGGAAGCAGAACTTGCATCCCTTGACTTGGGCACTTGTAGTTCAACTAGTCTCGCACTTCCTCCCTTCTGTGAGGTTAAGGTCCCTTTTTGTTACGGTCGTGGAGGCACCAAGGCATCCTCTCCTGTGCCATGCGGTCACAGCCTACACCAGGCAGAGCAAAGAAGGGGATTTGCGCCCGTAAGTTCCTCTGTAGTATTGACAGTTTGCAGCTCTGGGCCTCTGTAGTTACTTGGGAGACATCACAGAGATGGCATACACTCTGAAATGTGGCGTGTGCTGAGGCTGTGTTGGACTCAAGCTCCAGGGGCATCTCTGAGGTTCTGGCAAGGCTTTTGCCAAAGTCTTGGTGCCAGTGTCATCCTGTCTGTGTAATTCCTCCACCTGCTTAATTTGATTCACTCCTTCCTTCTCTTGTCCTTTCTTGCTAGATTTTTGAGCTGTCCAAAGCTGTAAGTCAGCATTTGTCGGTATTCACACTGTATCTCCTGGTCTCCAGGCATTGGCAGCTGGACTTCTTATGGCTAATACTGGTCTGAAATGCTGTAGCTATCAGAATGTGAAATACTATTTGCAGTAGCCTTGGTTTAACAAAGCACCTAAGGTGCTTGATTAGGCACACCCAGAAAAGGAAATCTGTATTGAAGTGCAGTCCCTTATCTGGGACGCTTACCTCAGCTGAGGTCAGGCTGATGCAAGGGCTCTCGCTTCTCTGGGAAGCTAGTTTGTTGACCCAAGAATAAGCATTTTTCATGGGATCATTTCAAGGCTTACAAATCAGTGGTAGTGATGGCTGCTGGTCCTACAAGCCCTGTTCCTTGCACAGTGATTGCTGGAGCAAGGCATGTCTGTCTGTAAAACCAAGTCTAACCATCGAAAGTCTCCTGAAGGAGCTCAGCATAGACAAAAGCATTCTTTCTCCCCTGCTTCCCCCTCCGGGGACAAGTGATTGTTTTCCTTGCAGTTTAGTGCCAGCATATTATCCAAATGGATTTACCTCTGTCTGAAACAAGGTGTACATGTATTTTGGAGGAGATCATTACCTGCTGCCTTGGTTTTACTGCTGCCTTGTTTTGTCTAGACAGTGCAGAGAGCTGCAGGGAACTTGTCCGATCTGAATCCTAAGACCTATTTTATAGGCTGCTATTAAAATACATATCCTCTCACGTAACCATCCTGTGGCCGGGTTTCTCACCCTGTGTGTGCAGTGAGCGCAGAACCACTGAACGAGAAGCAAGCTGCTGTTCTTTGCTGTACCAAACCCTATGCGGACCGAGTCCAAATTTCAGGGGAATCCTTTGGTAGAAGAAGGCTTTGCTCTGCTTGGTAATGGCATTTCAGAACTTAAGTTTCTCTTCCTTTTCTTTGGACTGGCAGAGAAGTGTTTTTCTAGAAACTCCTTAATTCCCCTTTCACTCCACGCCGGAAGGAGCGGTGGGCACAGGTGGGAGGTGGTGGCAATGGGAGGGGACACTGGTGTAGGGGATGCTGAAGAGGCACGGGGGGTGGGGGGTGGGGG